GTTTTTTTGTTTGTTTCTGAAATGTTTTTCATAAAGGAGAATTTTTGTTCGCGTTTTTGTTGTTTTTTATTTGTTTCTTAAGATTTTTGTTATTATTTCTGTTATTATGTGCAAAATTTCCTATGATAGAGTTTCTTTTTTATGTTAATGTTGTTTTTTTGTTTGTTTGTTTCAGAGACACAGGAGCGATTCTGTTAAATTTGTTTGTTTGTTTGAAGATAAGGGGGATAGGGGGAGGGAGGGAGGGGAGGGGAGGGTGTTTCTCTTGTACACGTGTTGTAACAGATGTACATAGGGAACATCTGTAGTATGCCGTAAAAAGTGTGTGTATGTGTCTGTGAGAGAGAGAGAGAGAGAGAGAGAGAGAGAGAGAGAGAGAGAGAGAGAGAGAGAGAGAGAGAGAGGAGAGAGAGAGAGGAGAGAGAGAGAGAGAGAGAGAGATAGAGTGAGAGGTAGACAAGCAAAGACTGTATATTAACAGGAGAACGAAGATGAAGAGAGAGAGAGAGAGAGAGAGAGAGAGAGAGAGAGAGAGAGGAGAGAGAGAGAGAGAGAGGAGAGAGAGAGAGAGAGAGAGAGAGAGAGAGAGAGAGAGAGAGAGAGAGAGAGAGAGAGAGAGAGAGAGGAGAGAGGAGAGAGAGAGGAGAGAGAGAGACAGAGAGAGAAAGAAAGAAAGAAAGAGGTAGAGATAGAGAAATGGAGAGAGAGAAAAAAAGAAAGAAAGAAAGAGAAAGCGAAAGAAAGAAAGAGAAAAAGAAAGAAAGCCAAAAAGAAAGAGAAAGAGGAAGACAGAGAGAGAGAGGGAAATATAGACCGAGAGAGAGAGGCACACACACACACGCACAGAAAATACGCCGGCTTGCTCGCGTCTCCGATGAATATTGATAAGGAGATAAGGAAGATAAGACACCAGCTGATTACGAAATGGTCCTGTAAGCGCCGAGGAGATATTACGATTCCTGATAATATTTGTAAGATTTTCCGCTTCATCATCTTACCACAAGATATGATTGTAATTTGGCAGAGGCGATTGGCTTGAGGTAAAAAAAAAGGAAAAGAAAAGGTACTAAATATATTCCCCAAAAGATCCACTCAGGCTGAATAAGAATAAAAATATATGTATATTTATTATTATCACTGATTTAATCAACTAATAATTTAGTGATAAAGATTACCTTAAAAAGGCTGAATAAAAAGAAATAATAATAATAATAATAATAATAATAATAATAATAATAATAAATCAAAATTGCCTTTTTTAAAACGAGATAAATCGCGTTTTTTTTTTTTTTTTTTTTCTAACGAGGGAAAAAAAAAGAAAACACGAAAGTTGTGCGTCGCAAATTTTCAAAATGTGAACAGCTTTGCCCGAAGTTTATCCTCAAGAAGTTAAAGAAAAAAAAAGAAAATAAATAAAAAAGGAGACCGTTGGTTTCTAAACTTTATGAAAGAACAGTAAAGGATTTTTTTTTTTTTTTTTTTTTTTACAAGATTAAAGATGTGAAGTTTTAAAGGATTTTAGGAAATATAATTTGATAATATAGTTTATATTTTTTATTTTATTGGAAAAATAATATATATATTATTATTTACTTTTTAATATATATATTCTTTTATTTTGATTATTTGTTTATTTGTTTTATTTGTTCATTTACTTTATTTATTCGTTATTTCCTTTATTCTATTTATTCATTTATTTCATTTCTTCTATTTATCAATTTATCTTATTTATTCATTTATGCATTTATTTCATTTATGTAATCTATGTATTCATTTATTTTATTTGTTTATTTATTCATCTATTTCATTTATTCATTTATTTAATTTATTTCATTTATTTCATCTATTCATTTATTTCATTTATTTCATTTATTCATTTATTTTTTCATCAATTTTGCTTAATCATTTATTTCATTTATTCACTTATTTATTTGTTTATTTCACTTATTCATTTATTTTATTTATTTCATTTATTCTGTTTTATTCATTCATTTCATTTATTCATTTATTTCATTTATTCATTTATTTCATTTATTCATTTATTTCATTTATTTCCTTTATTCATTTATTTCATCTATTCATTCATTTCATTTTTCATTCATTTCATTTATTCATTTATTCTTTTATTTCATTTATTTCATATATCCATATTCATTTATTTCATATATTCATTCATTTTATTTATTCACTTGTTCATTTATTTCATTTCATTTATTCATTTATTCTATTTATTCGCTTATTTATTCATTTATCCACTTATTTTATGTATTCATTTAATAAATTTATTTATTTATTTCATTTATTTATTCATTTAATTTTTCATTTATTCTAGTTATTCATTTATTTAATTTAATCGTATATTTATTTCATTTATTTGGGGGTTATTTTCCTCCTTCGTTATTTTTTTCCTTGTTTAATCTTATTTAATCTTTTACCATTTTTGCAAATCAAATATCCTAAAGATCTTTTTACAAAAAATAATTATTGCAATATTTCTTTTTTTTCATTAATTCTGCTTTCCTTTGTTTTGCGTTTTTTTTTTTTTTTTTCAACAACCATTTCTTTTTCCTTTTTCTTTATTTATGTTTTTTCAGAGACCGTATTATTTTTTTCCTTTTTTATAGCTTTGTTCTTGATTTAACTATTACGTTTATTTTGTTTTTTTTCTTTTCTCCTGTTTTCTGTGTTTCCTTTTTTCAGTTTGTTCTTTCTGTCTTTCTGTTTTTGTTCTTTTTACGAGAAATCTCTCGAGCCTTTACCTCTCTCTCTCTCCCTCTCTCCCTCCCCCCCCCCCTCTCTCTCTCTCTCCATCTTCGTTCTCCTTTAAATATACAGCCTTTGTTTGTCTACCTCTCACTCTATCTCTCTCTTTTTCTCTTTCTCTTTATCTCTCTCTCTCTCTCTCTCTCTCTCTCTCTCTCTCTATCTCTCTCTCTCTCTCTCTCTCTCTCTCTCTCTCTCTATATATATATATATATATATATATATATATATATATATATATATATATATATATATATATATATGTATATATGTATATGTATAACGTCATCTTCGTTCTCCATTAAATATACAGTCTTTGCTTATCTACCTCTAACTTTATCTCTGTCTACCGTTGTCTATCTATCCTTTCATTTACCCATCCATGTTCTCTGTTTCTCTTTGTTTTCTTTTTTTCAGTCTCTCTATCCTTCCTTTCTTTCTTTTTTTATCTTGTTTTCCTTCTTTTCGTTTTCCTTTGTATCTTGTTATTTCTCTCTCTCTCTCATCTTTAATTCACGCCAATTAAACTTAGTAAGTAATAAGTAGTAAGTAAGTAGTAATACTATAATTGTCTACTTTTGTTAATAGTATCATTAGTATTACTTACAACCGCACTTACAATGGACACTTACACTCAAAGTAAAAGAGTAAAAGAATTGAATAAGTAAATATATAGAGAAATGATAATGATAATAATAACACGATTAATAATGAGAGCAATTATGAAAACAATAATAATAATGATGATAACAATAATAATGATAATGATAATAATGATTATTATAATAATGCTAATAATGATGATGATAATAATAATGATAATAACAATAATCATAATGACAATAATAATGATAATAATAATAACAATTATAATAATAATAATGATGATGATGATAATAATAATTAAATGATGATAATAATGGCAATGATAATAATAATAATAATAATAATGATAATAATAATAATAATAATAATGATAATAATAATAATAATGATAATAATAATAATAATAATAATAATAATAACAATAATAATAACAACAACAATAACAACAAAAATAATAATAATGATAACAATACCAGTATGAAATGCAAACAAAATCGAAACAAAAACAATAATGATAATAATAATAATAATGTCAAAAAGGACAATAAAAATCCAAAAATCCTCCATTATTTTTATTCCCAGCACAACACACGTGTTTACAAAGTCTCTCTCACTCGCCTTCCAGTTATAACATGGCCCTAGTGTCCTCTTTCGTATCGTAACAGATAGGGGTATCACCCTTATGAGCTCACCGTGACTTTTTCTTTTGCCTTCTCCTTTTCCCATTTTTTTTATCTTATGTTATTTGATTTTATTTATTAAGTAATTTATTTATATGTGTTAATTGATTAATTTATTTATAATGTTTATTTGTTTATTTATGTATTTATTTATATGTTCGTTTGTTTATTTATGTATTTATTTGTTTGTTTATAATTTATTTATTTATTTATTATCTATATATTCATTTATTTATTTATTATTTTTATATTTATTTATCTATTTATTATTTTTATATTTATTTATTTATTTATTTATTTATTATTTACTTATTTATCTACTCATCTAATTATTCACTTATTCATTTATCAATCTTTTTACCTTTCTCCCCTCTCCTCTGTCTCTTACTCTCTCCTTCTTTGTTCCCTCTTTCCCCTGGACGAACTGAAGTGAGTGAACGAAAATTACTGAAAAATAAACCCGAGCGAGCTGAAATGAGTGAACGAAAACCTGATAAACTAAAATTACTGAACGAACCTGAACGAGCTGAAGCGATGAACGAAAATTACAGACAGACAGACAGAGAAAAATGCCTTGCCTTGTAAATTTATCTGCCTCTCTACCGAAAGACACTCACAACTTACAGACAGACAGACAGACAGACAGACAGACAGACAGACAGACAGACAGACAGACAGACAGACAGACAGACAGACAGACAGACAGACAGACAGAGAGACAGAAAGACAGACAGACAGACAGACAGAGAAAAATGCCTTGCCTTGTAAATTCATCTGCCTCTCTACCGAAAGACACTCACAACTTACAGACAGACAGACAGAGAAAAATGCCTTGCCTTGTAATTCATCTGCCTCTCTACCGAAAGACACTCACAACTTACAGACAGACAGACAGAGAAAAATGCCTTGCCTTGTAAATTTATCTGCCTCTCTACCGAAAGACACTCACAA